CTTAACCGCCTTTCTCCTTATATTCTATTTTCCCTTGTTCGTAGAATACCTATTGTCAAACTTGACGTAAATGGATGAATTCATTCTAGCCGTATAACAACTATAAAAAATTCTTTAAAATCTTTATACTGTTTATATTGTGTATTTGTTATGACAAATAATTCAAATATACTAAACAATAAATCTAGATAAATTTTCAAACAAGAGAAGAACTCTAACGTCAAACTAGCTATAGTTTACTTTGTGGAGAAACTAAGATTTTAACGGAGAGCACCAACCTTTTACCTTTATCAACTGTAATCGTTTTTATACAGGAAAATTCTAATTTTGTCCGGACTATCATCTTTTCAACTTGATCAAAACTGGAATTCTGATTTCGTCCGGACAGAATTGGAATTCCAATTTTGTCCGCAGAAACTCTGATCAAAACTAGAATTCTAATTTTGTCCGGGCGAAATTAGAATTCCAGTTATGTCCGGACAAATTCGGAATTTGACCGAATTCTAATTTTGTCCGCAACATATATATATTCTGCCATAAAAAGTATTACTTATTGAAATTGGGTGACGGAAGACCATTTATACAGAGAAGTGTCGTTCAGCACTACTGAAATGCAGCAGGTGTATTAAAGCAGTGCTAGAAGACATTTGAGTGTTCCCCAACAGTACCTAAACACCACTGGATAAATAAATTGGGCTCTAATACTAAGATCGATGGTTGATACCAACTAACCAACATTTACTTCCTGTTTCTGCCAACGTTGCATCGTAAATGTTCTATTGCAGCAGTGCTAAAGCAAAAACAGTCTGCTGAAGAACGCAGGCCTCTATTTGATTATATGTCTGTGGTCGTTGTGGTAGCGGGTGTGCTGCTAGCTGTGGTGCAATTTTATTACACTTTATTATTTCCACTTTTAGAAGAAATAGTTTTCTTCTAAGAACATAAGTGCTCAAACGATATAATTTTCAAGTCGTGTGTTCATCGAGTGGTGGATAACGATATGTAACGGAACAAGAACGTCACAGTGTTTATAGCGCCATTGTTTATGTTAATTTACTTAGTTACGTGAGACACATCATTTATTTATTTATTTTGAAAATATCATATGTCTGCAAACTTTATGTCGTAACTTCAGTAAGGTACTACAAGCTTAATGGATATTCCCTTCCTTTGCTTTTGGCGCCAACCTCTTCAAAGAAAAATCTCAGTCATTCCTTCATGCGCGGAATGAAGAGGAAAGATGTTGATTGCTAATTGTCTGTTTGTGTTTTGTTGATTATTTATTTATTTTTCGATCTTCATTGGTTTGTTGATTGTATTTATTTATTTCACGCAAGTGTATTACAAGGTGTAACATGGTATGAGCATAAACATAGTTCAGTTCACCGTTGTCCGCGGATGGTTGAAGACTTACATATCTTGTTCACCCACCATTTTGTAGCTGCTGCTAGATTATCGGATTTTCAAGGATGTCTGAAACAGTGAAATAAACGGAGAGAATGCGATTATTAATGGGCGGGTATGGGTGGGTGACTTGCAATTACCTTACTGAAGTTACTCATAGAATTTCAATTTCATGTCACTAAGGCTAATAAAATTACCAATTTGATGTCGTAACGTCAGGTGCGGTCCCACTTGGACTATCGGTGTAGATAACGGATACACAGTTGACCTTGATAAAGACGGACAGTTGGTGCTCATGTATGCTGCCGAGTCCAACTCTCGCATCTACTCTGCGCTGTGATTACAAAGAAAACCTTCACCTTGAAAAGCCGTTGTAGCCACCAAGACTTCAACCAGTGTTTCAGTGATTGCTGGTTTATTTCATCAACCATACCTACCTCGCTCACACTATTCCTGCGTGACTCACGACGGAACCACCCCCGGCTGGTTCCCTTAACAGTTTGATTTGGGAAGAGTTAGGCACCTTCGAATCACCAGAAATGACTATAGTTAAATGAAATTGATATCGAATATTCGAATGGGTGCATTTAGTACGATTTGAATCATACTTGCCGGTCGAAGCTAAAGAAAGAGTCGGTCTGTATTTACTGAGATTCAACCTACTTTCAAAGGGAAGCTCGAGTAGTTCTTGGCGTAGTCGCTTTTGCTTCAAATGGATAGAGAAGAGTTTGCTGGTCGGATTCAAGTGTAACAACACTTCAAAATGCGCGCTCGGTAATAGCAAAATCTCATCTTCAGTTGAGAAATGGGATTGATTTCGTATGCGTCAACCGTTAACTGCTTCAATCAAAACTATAAGACAATCGTGCACCATTAACACGACACGCTTGACTTCTGTATTCTATTGAAATGAGACAGTATTTTCTGTTTCTCTTCATAAAACAACGTGCTGATACAATTAAACAAATAAAAGAATATTTACATGGCCATCGCATTTAGACGTCTAAGTGCAATTAGAGATTCACTTCATCTAGCAGGTATCGAGAAGGACCCAGAACAAATTCTAGAGCCCATCTATGGTTATGCTTCTGAGCCGCTTCTCTCTCTGGAAGAAGCTTGCGAACCGCTGCTGCCGATTGTTGCTGGTCTACCGGAGCATATTCGTATCGCTATAGAGAACTCAAAAGATCCTGCCGATGGTCTCACTCGCCAAGAATCAGCCGCCATTCGTCTCTACAGTATGGAGTGTGACTCTGACAATGTAGGTGCTTATGTAAGTCTTTATTCACATCTCAATGAAACACTTAAACACGCCGATCGAGCTGAACTTAGACCCTGGTTTCGCTACCTTAAATTATTTCTTACTGCCATAGCTAAACTTCCACCATGGTCTGGTGGTGTTGTGTGGCGTGGAGTTCGCAAAGATCAAAGTAATGCATATCCACAAGGCACTGAAGCCGTATGGTGGACTTTTTCATCGTGCACATCAGCGCTGGGCGTTCTCGAGTCCGATTTTTACTCGGGCAAAGTCGGCACTCGAACACTATTTGGGATTGAAACACTCAATGGACGAAACATACGAAATCATTCCCATTTCCCAACTGAAGATGAGATTATACTATTACCGGGCACGCATTTTGAAGTGTGTTCACTGGTGACTCCCACCAGCGACCTGTTCATTGTCCATTTGAAGCAAAAAAGACCACGACATGAACTACTCGAGCTTCCCTTTGAAGGTAGGCTGAATTTCTGCAAGGACAGACCGATTCTTTCTCTGAGCTTTGACCGGCAAGTATGATTCACATTGTATGAAGTGCATGCATTGGAGTACTCAATATCGATTTCATTTAACTATAGTCATTTCTTGTGAGTTGAAGGTGCCCAGCTCTTCCCAAATCAAACTGAGTCCAGTTCGAGTACGGTAGGTATAATTGGCTCGATTTGTGATTATTTGAAGACCTGTCTCAACTAATAGGAAATAAACCAGCAATCACTCAGACACTGGTTGAAGTCTTGGTGCCCACAACGGCTTTTCAAGGTAAAGGTTTTTTATGTAATCACAGCGTAGAGTGGACGTGAGAGTTAGACATGTTCTCCAACTGTCCTTCTTTATCAAAGTCAACTGCGTATCCGCAATCTACAGCGATAGTCCCAGTAGATTACTGGGTCATACAAAATATATTAAAGCAGAATAATTCATAGCTCATGAAAATATGAAAATCCACTTACTACGATACAGAATCTCTTAACTGGCTCCTAATTTTATGTAGATTAGAAATTTCTGCTTCGACTTTGATTAAAATGTCAACGACAGAGAACTCGAAGACTCAATGTACTGCAGAGTTTGGAAGCGCGAGCACGACTCTGGCTTAGCTGGTAAGGTGGTGATTTCACTTGAAAGAGAAAATTCTGCGCTACAAATTTCACATAGTTCCAGAATGTTCACGTTAATTTTAAAAGTCGAAATATTTGAGTTTCTCAAATGCAGCCTATCTTCGAAATTTTAGAAACCGTTTCGGAATCCTTCAGATCCTGCTTTAACAAAGGTGCGAAATGTCAGTTTTCTTCAGTTCCTTAAGCTCTTGTCCTACTTCCAGACATATTGAAGAAAGCTTTCCACTTGACAAAAGAAAGCGCACAGCGACGAACTCTTATAAACTAAAGCACAGCTCAATTGCATTATGTGTTTCTGAGATAGCCTAGACCAACTTCCTGATCTAACAGCCCTATTCTCTATCAGTTCTCTATTTTGCAATTCTACCAATAAAATAAACGAGACATAAACGAGCAGTAAAGGTGTCTGAAACTTTTGTTCGCTGGACAAAACTTGCACTTTATCCCGGATTCAAGTCGAGATCTATTAATGTTTTTAGATACCCTATCGAAACATACATCTCGTAAAAGAAGATTCGTTCATTCCGTCTATACATGTGGGAATAACGATGAAAAAAGGTGCCTTAAACTTTATTGGTTACAGGGAAAAAACTTTTTTCATGAGTTCATGTTTCAGAGATGGGACTCGTACTCGCGACCTCTTTTTACGAGTACTTAAAAATGTACACTAGTATTTTCGAGTATTTGAAATTTTTTAACATAGAATAACCTATAATTAAAATAACTTTTTCATGAGTATTTTCTTCTTCTAAAAATACTCGTACTCGTACTCATACTCGAGAATCTGCCTACTCACCCATCTCTGTCATGTTTTACTTTGTAGATCCCATCAACTAAACGAGCTGGGCACAAAAATGGAGCAACATCAAATTCGCCTGGAAACGACACGTATAGTAGGCATGAGGAATCAGCAAACAGTTTTGAAACCCGTAAGTCTCAGCTACTATTTCTTTGCTATGTGACTAGTTCAAATGCTAGTGCTAAAATTCTAGCAACATATGACCATATATCCCTTTTTTCTAGATGAAGTAGAACTGTGGAATCTTCGTCAAGTTTATGAATGGCTGAAACATTTTGGTAAAATGTATGCCAGTGATGCTGATAAATTATATTCACATGGTGTAGATGGACGAATGCTTCTATCTGCTGTTGACGATCAAAGTTTACAAGATATAGGAATTACATCAATCATGCATAGACGGAAAATACTAATGACTATCGATGATTTAAAACTGGTACAAATAAAAAGACAGTCTATAAATCCTTCTCACAAAGAAGGAACAGCGACAGCAGCATTCTATGGTCA